GGTGTGGTAGCCGGGGTGGCAATGGCAGGGGTGTGGTAGCCGGGGTGGCAATGGCAGGGGTGGCAGTGGCAGGGGTGTGGTAGCCGGGGTGGCAGGGGTGTTGCAGCCGGGGTGGCAGAGGTGGCGGTGGCAGGGGTGGCAGTGGCAGGGGTGTGGTAGCCGGGGTGGCAGGGGAGGCAATGTCAGGGGTGTGGTAGCCTGGGTGGCCGGGGTGGCAGTGGCAGGGGCGGCAGAAGTGGCGATGGCAGGGATGCCGGTGGCAGCCGGGGTGGCAGGGGCAGGGGTGGCAGTGGCAGGGATGCCGGTGGTAGCTGGGGTGGCAGTGGTGGCAGGGGCAGGGATGCCGCGGTGGTAGCCGAGGTGGCAGGGGTGGCGATAGCAGGGATGCCCGTGGTAGCCGGGGTGGCAGGGGCCACAACTATATCGCTGTTGCTTTGTGGCTTGGATTGTAAAATATACGCAAGTCAGAGTAATGGTTACTTACGAAGAAGGGAAGTCCACATGAAGACATCCCAGTTGGTTATGTATGTAGGAGACTAAGATTGTGGTAGCGCTCGATTATATAGCGGCTAGTGCTGCGACTACTACGTCTACGGTTATTACCGCCACCGCCGTCATCCCTGCTACACCGGTTACCACACCCCTGCCACCGCCACTCTTACCACCGCCACCCTTGAGCTGCGTACGAATGAACGTATGACACACGGGCAACACGAGCTCGTCTCACGACCTTGTCGCACTACGATAACATCAACATTCTCCTCCTACTACGACTCTTTCTCCTTTTCATTCTTCTCCTCCTCTCCCTTCTCTTCCCACACTTCTTCCTTTTTCTCCCGCATCCATACCTCCTCCTCCTCCTCCTCCTACTACTCCCCCCCCCACCTTCACAACCACCACCACCTCCGCCTCCACTCCCACCTTCTCATCCTCCTCCTCCTTTTCCTCCGCCTCCTCCTCTTCCTCCTCCTCCTCCACCACCATGCTCCTCCTTTCCCTTCCTATCCCCCCCCCAGCATCACGACCAAACGACGCTGGCATAAAAGACGCGACCATAGCGAACGTAAAACTGGAAAAGCCGTGAGTTTTTTCATCTATTGGCTGGCTTTTATGGCAGCAGTGTGGCTATAACAGAACCCGAAACCAGCGGCCCATTGTACTGCGCCTATGTAAGCCGGGGGAAGTTACGCTGCGTGCAACGCGCGAGAATGTACAGACCAGCGAATAATCACACAAGACGGTTATATTGAGTATTCGTCGAAAATTTCCCCATACCGTCGCATCCCCGGCTAACTCTTGCCTGCCGACGGTTTTGTCCCCCGCTGCGGTTTTCTAACTCTCCGAATAGAAATCGCCGGTCGTTGCGGACGTACGCGCCCTTGAGGGTGCATAGAGACGGTGGACCGGTGCTGGGGGAACAGCGTCGCGTTTCTCATGATTTCGAAAAGCCGTAAAAGTGCCTGAAACCGGCGGCGGCGTGACAGCGCGCGGCCTTGCGTCGCTCGGCGGCCGTTGTTGCGAACGCGTTTCCCACGCGGCTCTCGGGCGGCCGAGAAAACAGAATCCGACGAAAAGCCACGAAAGTTTGCGCGGCCGCAGTGTCAATATTTTCTCGTATCGCTTTCTCGGCGTTGCCTTCTATTTGCCGCCGCGCGCGCGTAGGTGAGAGGGGCGTCGGCTCAGCACACCGACAGCAGCGGCGTGGCGTGTTGTTTCTTCACGCGGCTAGGTCGGCT